CATCCAGCTGTTTGTTCACCGCTTTGGTCTGAACGCTGCGCTCCAAGGTTTTTGCCAGCTGGCTGAACAACGGAGCTTCGAACCGCTCGAAGGAGGGATCGATTCCAAGCAGCTCTTCCAGGCCAGTGCATCCTAGGAAAAGGCCGGTTTATTTAACGATTACGTGCTAACAAATTCATCTCATTCCTTTTTTTACAATTCTACTTACCCCTAAAAATCTGATTTTTTTAAACATGTGTACAATCACAAACTCAGATTTCTAGCTTGTCACTAAAGAACAAATTGTATTACCCCAACTAGGAGAACAAAAAGTATTTCCTGGCAAGGGCCTTTCTTTTTCTTTTTCTTTTCTTTTTTAATGTCCCCTACAATAACTAGGCCAGTCCTCTGGGAAGACTGCTCCTCCCCGCAGCCACTGCCTCCAGCCCCCTGAGGCTGGTCTCCCTCTCTACACATTAGATGACCTCCCTCACCCTGTTTTTGCATCTGGGAAATTCAGATACCAATACGTGTACACATATAAGCATCTAGCACATAGCTGTCATTCTTCTTCCCTTAACAACTTAAGTCAACAAGTTAGAAACTGCTAAGCAAGAGAGCAGGTCAGAAAACAAGAAAATACTGCAACATCCAGTGAAACGCTTCCGACAGCTTTGTAAGTTAAAGGGTAGCTCACCAATGGCAAAGGCGGTGTCCCTGTCGATGGTGGCCGCTTCCTTGGGGTCAAACAACAAAGAGGCAACTTCATCTCTAGATAAGAGACTGGGGTCACTCTGAGGGAGGGCGAGTCGCTGGAGCTGCTGTGCTAAGGACGTCATCTCTCACACTAGCGGATTTCTGAAGCCCGGGCTGAGAAACATACCCCCGTGAGAATTCTCTACGAAACTTAAGTCACCTCCCGCTTAACTGCAAGCAGCAAACGCCTCACGTACAAGCAGCTTCACCCCGCATCCAGCGCTGTCGCATACACAGAACCGGCTGTCCCGCACCCGCTCCGCGGACCGGGAAACGCGCAGACGCCTTCCCCTGCCCTGGTCACCACCCGACCCACAGCTCCTACTCACCGAGAGCTCGACTTCGGCAGAACGGGGAACCCCAACTCCTCACAGCAGCTCCCACATGGGGCTCCAGCCCGGCCCTCGCTCGGATATCCGTAGCACGCCTGATCCAGCTTCCGGTTTCACGTCCTACGGCGAGAGAAGAAGTCCAAGCTTGCTGAACATGCGACGCGATGACTCCGCCTCCCTTCAGCGGACTTCCGGCGTCGGGTCCGGATGTGTCCCTCCGCTGCGACTGGCCGTCTGCGCCCTGTCCGCGTGCGAAGGTTCCGGCCTCTGCGTGCGCCTCAGGATTCGTAGCCCGAGTCAGTCATTCAACCTGGACTCGCGAGCTGAGCCTCCTTGCAGATACTGGTACCGCCGTCCGGAGCCGCGGGCCGGCCTGGCATCGCTGCGCGTTCCCGGAGGCCACCACTGAGGGCTTTTTTTTTCCTGCAGATACTGGTGCCGCCGTCCGGAGCCGCGGGCCGGCCTGGCACCGCTGCGCGTTCCCGGAGGCCATCACTGAGGGCTTTTTTTTTTTTTTCAAAATTAACCTTGAGCTATCTAAAAACTAACCCACTTCAGTTTCACAGTTCCGTGGGTTTTAACAAATGACTATGTGGCTATAACTGCTTCCCCAGCCGAGACGTAGGAAGTTTTCGTGGCCCCCAAGCTGCTTCCGCCCCCCTCCCCCGCGTCCCGCTGCACTAACCCGCACGCCGCCCGGGCCACCGAGCCTCCTGGCGTCGCTGCGTGTTAATGCTGCTGAAAAGTGTCCCTCGTGGATATGCCCTGTCCGGTCTCCAAGCCAGGTGTGGTGTGCGCTTAAAACAACCCAAATAATCTCCAGTTATTAATACAGGTCGTTCCTTAGCTCTTTTTCACGTGCCTTGCAGAGAATAACGTGATTTTTAAAGTTCCGGTGGTACCTATTTCATCCTTGCAAACAGATCTCCCAAAGGAATGTTTTTGTCCTAATGTGTTACAGGAATTTTACCTTCACAGAAGCAGTCAGCTTGGGGAGAAATGAAAGTAGTAAGAAATGAAATCCAGGCCTATTTTATTCCACAAGACATATTTACCTTTTCACTTAAAAATTGTTCACTATTTTTTCAAAAGCCTCATCAAAGCGAAAATAAAAAAGTTTCCCCGGGTATTTGGTTCCACCCTTCATATGTCAGTTTCAATGGGATACGGTGCCACGTGGAATTTCGCTTTGGAAGTGAACTAGAAAACTCGTTTCTAAACTAGAAGAAAGAAAGTCAGATATTCATAAATAGAACTATTGTTTAAAGCTTTGGTTTAAAAACACATCGTGATCTTGAATTATATCATTTTCTCCATTTTAAAATAATTCTTTGGATGTGTTCGTGACTGTTTTCTGATTATTGCCACCTCAGTGTTTGTGATTTCATGCCTGTCTTCCGGTTTGATAATTCAGTCGAGGACCAGAGCAAACTCACTCTCTCAGTTATTTGCATTTAAAATATCGGTTATAGATCAGATGTGGCTCTGTAATTCTGTCTAAAAATGATTTTCATGGCTCTTTCTACTTTCATTAATCCCCTAATTTTATTCTATTATTCTTTTTTTAAACAAGCTCTGGCTAGTTTTATTAAAGAAAAAAAATTGCATAATTTACTTTTCACCAGTCTGTTCTGGCATGCTTCTAATGATATCAGAATCACCGGGATCAATGATAACATCTTCCACACGTGCCCCATTCAATATCATCATCCCTGTAGTGATGGACACCAGTCTTGGACAACAGGGCATAGTACTCTATCTCAGATTTCCTCGAGGCGGAGCGGTAGTTGGCAGGAATGACCAGTTTTGCTTTGTCTGATTATTTTTAGAGTCTGCTTGTACTCCAGCACACACTTTGACTTTTCAGAACAAGTTGGAGCTTAGAGTTGATCATCTCCAGAGACTTTTTTGTCTTCTTTGTGGCCACCATCTTCCTGCCTTAGGTGCAGGATGGCCCCCAACCAAGAGCATAATTTTAGCTATAACTGATACATATTTCTTGATGAAAGGATAAACACTATTTCACAGATCGTGTTTTAATCATACATTCTTTCATCTGATGGGGCATTTTAAATGGTGGAATGATGAATTCTACTCATTTCCATTACTGTTCATGGCAAGGACTCTGCCCCCCCAAAAGCAAATATGTAAGAGTGATTCGAATGAATGAATTATTCTTTAAAGGATATTCTACCTCCCTTACCTCACCCGTTTTAATCCAGAGTACAGGTGCTTTGATTCAGTCCGTGCGTGCCTTATGCCAGGCCAGGCAGGTGGTAGTAAACACAAAACCTGAGGCCTCTACTCTTGAAATACTTACATCCCACCAGGAAGAGACAGGCGGTAAGCAAACAGACAAACCAGAAAACCACCAGGTAATGTGATAAGGGCTGTGGTGACAATCACTCAACCATATGATGGGGGCGATGGAGGGAGGGCATCGCTAGTTTGAGTAGATGGGGACGGACTCTCTGAAGAGGGAACATCGAAGCTGAGACCTGAATGAGAACTCTGGAAGAAATGAAGGTCATCCCAGACAAGACCGATCTCAACATTAACTCTACTCCAGTCACCACAGGTGCCTTTCTGCCCTTCAGATACACCAAGCTCATATTTTTTTCACAGACTTATCATGACCTGAAATGATCTGATTTGTTTGCTTACCTATTTAGTTCTTGCATGCCTTCACTGGACTTCTGTCTGCATGTAGGCTGGCATGAAGCCTGCCCCAAGATTTGTGGAGCTGGGCAGGAGTACAAATGGAAACTCATCTACTGTCAGTCTTTAAAAGTTATAAATCAAGCCAACGCACTGTTAACTAGGAAATGTTATAACCTCCAACTTTGACACAAAAACGTTTATAATGACAAAAGAAAAAATGTTTTTATATGGATGAAAGACCGCCAAATGTGAAAGATGACAGCACTTAATTATTACTATTCCTGTCTGGGTACAGTACTGACTGGCTAATGATTTTGGTTGAGTAACAAAGACATATATAGCTGATACATTTCCTATATATTTAGCCCATAAAAATTTGCCTTCCTGTCAGCAAAAACACCAATTATGTTGCTTAATCCAGGTTTTCACAAATTGTGTTCTATTCACAAAAAGTATCAAAAAGATTTAAAAATAAAATTTAATTATATTCAAAGTATAGAAAGTCTGAAAATATTTTCATAAATATATAAATCAAGTAAAAACTCAATACATTTATTTCTCATTTGTTTTCAATGTTTTCAAATGATTTATCTTCTAAGGAAACAAAATACAGATTGTAACTAACAATAAAGTTTTAAATAAAACTAAAGCTAAAGTTTAAAACATTTTTGGTAAATATTACCTTCCTCAATATTTTTATAAAAAATAAATTATTCACAAGTTTACCATTCAACACCGTTCGTGTTCTATCTTTATCTACCCATTTACAAATAAGGGTCATGTGAATTATTTGACATTGTTAAATGATCCTCAGCAACCACAACCAGTTGTAGAGAATACTGTACTAACTCACGAGTACACCCAGAACCATAAATTGGAAACAAGAAACTACACGATTGGAACTACTTAGAAATAATACTTCATTATGCAAAAATCTGTTCTTGTCATGCGGTCTGAAAGAAGAGCATGTCAAGTTCATCGGTTTCTTTTCTCCTCCCCAAGCACTTCCGCCTTCAAATCCCCACTGCGCTCTGCACCAGGGGCAGCGCAGTCCACACACCTTCAGAGCATTCAAACAGGGTTGTCTTATGTGCAGACACAAGACAAGAAGCCTGCTTCCCTGAAGCTTAGACACATAAATCAGACAAGGGACGTTTGGGGTTACAGGTTATGCGACAGCAGCGCTAAATGACAGGTTTAGAGAGACAGCCTCCTGCTCTTTTTAGTAAATTTATTTTTTATGTATTTGTGATATGCAGGGTGCAGGCCTTTCCCTAGTCCAAGGGTGGTGTTGAAGGCAGAGCTTTCTCCTGCTCACTGCTAAACCCTGTTACAAAGGGCCTGAGACGTGATTGACAATATATTTATTGGCTGAACAAGTGAAAAATGAATGTAAATGTGCGTAAGCTGTATCTATATCTTTTTCTTGTTCAAGAAAGGTGTATAAGAATGCAAATGAAGGAAAGTAGCATTGTTATAGGGATAATGGAGAATTTTCTAACTATAATAAAAGTAAACTGTTCCAAAACTTCAAAATTTTATTTGTAGTAGATTATTTGTATCACATAACACAACGGATGGCATACTGTCTACTTAAAACATATCTATTGATGAGAAATGAAATAAGAGGCATATATTAGCAATGTAAATTCAGCATGTGAAATCTCCGTTTTGGTAGTGCCGGCAAATACATGAGTAAATTCAGTGACTGAAAAATTAAGTAGTGACTGAAACAATATGTTTCTCCATATTGTGTCCCACATGAGTAAATTCAGTGACTGAAAAATTAAGTAGCTGTTTCTCCATATTGTGTCCCCCCAAAAAAGTCACTTAAATTCTTATGAATTTTGTGACTGGTCGTCTTATCACCCAAAATTACAATGATCTTTCCGATTATTTTGAAATGCACTAGCGGGGAGCTGGGAGTTGAGAAAAATGATTTGGAAATCTATGGAGCGAGTGCCTGCTCTACCTACAGGGACCAGCAGATGGCACCTAAGCAGTTTCCTGGTCTCCAGCGCATCTGGCAGTATCCCTGGGCGCCTCAGGTGGACCAGAAATTTTCAAACTTACGAAATTTGAAAATTGTGTACAATTTTACAGAAAGCGGTTCATTAAATCTTCCATATATTATAAAATGCAATAAATAGTGCTCTCAAACATTATTTAGAGAACTGCAGGACTTAAAAATGTTTAGATTTTCTTCACTAATGAAGTTCGTTTGAAGCCATCTGTTTATTCAGCACTAACTTGGAAATGTGGGCAGCCCGAGTCCCTCCCCCCTCACCTCATTCACTTCCACCGAGCACCTGCCACTGGGATGTTTTCTTTACTGATGAGGGTAATGGTGAAGTAGAGAACTGGGGATGCCAGCAAGATAAAATTAATAGAATATAATGGCAAAGAGTTATCAGGAAGTCCAGGGAAGTTTGCGGAGGGGGCGCACAGGACTTGATGCTCTGTGAGCAGCATTTGAAGAACT